GCAGGCTGTAAAACCTTTTTATGACACAGGACTATTTAAGCCCAAGCTTTGATCTAAATTGTTTTTCTCCTTTATTATCAAAGGAAAAGTCACTGAATTCTGTGTTAAGGGTCAGTGTATAAAAGAATTTGTATCCTCAAGCAGATGATTTTCATCAGATATCTCACTTCAGAGTTATCCTTTTGATCAAGAGCAGTATAGAAAAATGCAACTAAATGGCTACAATATTCTACACGTACCATAACTAACTGCTTAGAGCACATTTATTGCAGCAATTTGCATGGCCCAAATATGAGCCACTGGTTTTAGTCACAAGTCAAGAGAAAGCACAAATGCCTTGTTGAAAGATGGAAAGGAGGGTTGAGATTGGTGGTAAGTACCTCCAAGTAGATGTGGCAGCAAATTATGGGAAGCAGTATCCTCTGGCAAGTGCAGATACAGCTGAACAAAGCTGCTGTGCTAAGACTGAGGCAGCAACGGGCAGCAAACTGGAGGTGGGAACCAAAGAGCTAAAAGACAGTTGAGGGGATCTCTGCTAGGAGCCACTTGTGAAAACTGTTGTGCCATGTACTGAATAAGCTTGGAGGCTAGATGAACCTACCAAAAACACACGTGGGAAAGAGGTTTGTGAGGAGAGAGAGAGAAATGGCAAACGTAATGCAAATATTAATACGTATTAACATAAATGGAAAGAAAAATGATCACTAACAGTGATGTATGGATGCAGGTTTTTCCTAACAATCCCATCAGTGCTATCATATAGCTCAGTGTCAAAACAACATTTGGAGTGTAGAGATGACATGATTAGTACATATTTATTCTAAAATACACCAGGCTCATTAAGTTACAGCTTATGCACACGCCGTCCGCATTAACTGCCTCCAGTGTTTTTCCCCAGTGCAAAATATGATTTGCTGTAGGTCCATAAAAGCAGCTGGATGCTGTCAGATAAGACTTTATTAGAAATAGACTCTACTTTTGTGAAAATAAAAAAAATATAAAAAAGAAAACCCTAGTGTTAGCATACTGAGGTAATATGGAAAGGGAATAAGAGCATGGGAAAGTTAGTTCAAACAGATTGGGGTGGCGGGGAGGGGATAAAGAAAAGGAAGGCCTGAAACACTAAGCAGCAGCGAGGCTAAGCTCCAAACCTGCTCATTCCATCAACATTTTACTTCTGAACATCTGGACTAGAAAACCGAGTATGTTCAAAAACCCCAAGGCTTCTTTTCACAGCAAGCACAGTGGGAAAGCAAGCAGGCAGTACGTAAATATACAGCAAAGGAATTTGTAAGGACAACGTAAGACTTGCCTATTCCCAAGAAGCTGAAAGAAGGCTTGCCCATGATGACGGGGTTTTGTGAAGGAATAGCTGGAAAACAGAAACTTCTTGCATCATCATCCCTCTAAAAAGCCAGGAGACCTAGTGATCTTTTCCACTCTATTCTAGATGGAAGGTTTCCCTGCCAAGGTAATCCCTCCTCCCAAGGGTGGTACAAACCAAACACAGGGACGTCTCCTGTCATTCCAAGCTCTAAATGTGAAGGAGATAATGGTTTTCACATGTTTTGTCTATATACACATCCAAAACAGAAACTCGGGAAGAAAGCTGGGAGGAGTGAGCCTGCGTCTCCAGTCCACCATGTAATAAAACATTGCCGTGGATCTTTTTCGCTGAGCTTAGGAACATGGAAATTTGACCCAGCAAAGGGTAATGTATTCCCTGTGCGCCTGTGCAAGAGACACGTTCATTTTTGCATGTTGCTATTTAATACCTGTTACAATGAAAAAAAATCTGTTTAAGGCTATTTTAAGACCTTTAGGAGAATTTAAAAGAACTTCTGAGAAGGCTCCATTCAGACATAACAGACTGGTTTATCTCGATACATGGCCGCTCTTTTTCTTTAACCATGTTGTGCAAAAACACACTGCAGTTTAATCAGAAGCACTGCAGCTAACGTGCCTTGTGGATAAATATATCAATCATGGAAGTTTATTTTTAAGTTTATTCAAACTTAAACAGGGGAAGTTCAGGTTAGATATAAGGAAGAAGTCCTTTACTGTGAGGGTGCTGAGGTGTTGGCACAGGGTGCCCAAGGAAGCTGTGAATGGCAGTTTTGAAGGCTGGGTTGGACAAAGCCTTGGGTGACACTTGGTCTAACATGAGGCATGTTAGACCATGGCAGGAGGATTGGAACTGGATGATCTTAAGGTCCTTTCCAACCCAAACCATTCTGTGATTCTATGATTCTATAAATGTCAGACTGGCACATTTGTAAAGATTCCACTAAAATGCTCCCCTGCATTACAGAATCATAGAATCAGCTAGGTTGGAAAAAACTTCCAAGTTCAAGTCCCTGTTGAGGCCTCTGCAGGGAGGGAGCTGTGGGCTACCAGGACAAGAGGCTCTTTTACACCCTTGTCCTCCCCTTGGCATCATTTCTGTTCCTCATGATCCTGGTTTTCTGTGAGTGCCTGGTGGGAGCAGGGAGACCCCAGCACACTGCCAGAAGTCTGACAGGAGAGTGTGGAAGGGGAGACAGGGAGCATAGGCTGCAGTAACACAGGGCAAGGGTTTTTAATCTATCTGAGCACCTGACCGCTGTATAGCTGAGAAAGGAGAATAAATCCCTGCCCTGGAGGCTGCTGTGGCTCTCTCAAGCCATGCAAAAGCCATAGTATCTTCTGCAGCAGGTAACTTATGCATTTCCTGGTTTCAGGTGCTAAACAGATCATAGAATCACAGAATAGTTAGGGTTGGAAAGGACCTTAAGATCATCCAGTTCCAACTCCCTGCCATGGGCAGGGACACCTCACACTAAACCATGTCACCCAAGGCTCTGTCCAACCTGGCCTTGAGCACTGCCAGGGATGGAGCATTCACAACTTCCTGGGCAGCCCATTCCAGTGCCTCACCACCCTCGCAGTAAAGAACTTCTTCCTTATATCCAATCTAAACTTCCCATTGCTGCCACAGAAACAAAACAGCTTTAAGATTATAACCTTAGGACACAGTTCAAGGGACCCAGGACTGCCCTAGGGAAATGGGGGTATTTTAGTGTGAGGAGTGTAAACAGACTGAACAAGATCAGTGTCTTTTATCCTGTGTCCAGATATCTGTTGGGTTCTTTCTGCCAAGTTATAGCTGTCCTCAAAGAAAAGCAAGAGGTGGGGTTCCACAGAAGATGCTGTTTACAACAACAGCAATGACAAATCTCAAACACAGAACAATAAAAACACTTAAGTTCATGCTAGCAACTTGGGACCTAGGTGATATAGTTCCTTCTAGATTATGGGCAGCACCTTATCTCAGTCTGGAAGCAGAAGGCAGGCAAGTAAGATTATTTTTTTTTCTTTAATATGTATAATTTATTTCATTTCTATCACAGTTTCGACAGAGACATGACATTTTTAGTGTCAGTACCTGCAGCTCATCTTTTGGTATAGATACAAATAAGGAGCTCAGTTTATGTTGGTTGAGAGGAGAGTGAGATCAGGATTGAATTTTGAGACAGCTGGGACAGATTCAAGGTTATATTTGCAGAACATGAAATATTCAGAGCCAGCCAGGCCATGGCTGACTGTGTTCTGCTGACACATTTCTGGATTGAAAGCAGAAAGCTGAACTAGAGGCTTGCAGCGCCAAGAGGCTCCTACTGAAGAAGACAGTCACGTAAACTCTGATGAACTCAAACTGCTCAGTTCCAGGCTATTGCCTCATTTGCCAAGAAATAGCTGAAGAAATATAGCAGTTTTCAAGAATGTGAGATTAATTTCACTCTTTTTGTGAAAGCTATGTCACCAGTGTATCAGATAGTATCAGTAAAACTCAATATGCAAAATTGAAATAGAAAATCTTCTCAGTGTGGCAGTGGAAATCAAAGTAACATCTGTGAGTTCTTATTGTTGGCAAGTCATATTTGAAAGCAATGAAACCTGAACAAGAACAGAGCAGAAACCACCTTGCAGGCTTTTTATCAAGGATGGCAGTATATAAGGGAATAGTGGGCCAGGACTTATCTTTTAATTCAAACCACTATTAACCATGACCTGGTCAACAGTGTCTCAAGGACATATGCTCCTCAGTCAGCAATAAAGTCTTGTATTTGACTACAACACCAGTAAAAACAGAGCAAACCCCATTCTCCCATCATTAAAATGATGTGTACTTTATTCACCAGCTGCCTTGTTAGAGAAGAGTAAAAATAATACTAGACACTAAAAAATGGCAGAATCAGATTATAATTCATTACAAAAGTCACTGAACATACCAACTAACTCAACCAAGTACTTTCACATAGAAATGTTGATGAGATTGTAACAAGTTTCAGTAACAACTCACCAGGGATAGATTTGAATAAGGACCTGAGGGGGAAAAGCTCAGTGTTTCTATTGCCAACTGTTAAGCCAAGCAGTTCCACCAGTGTGTTTTCTTTCCACGGAAAAAACCAAAATCGAGTATAAAGTCATAGCGAGGGGTAGATGAAAAGACTAGAAAGACGGTTCTCAACTAGGATGAATTTACTTTACAATTTAATGTAATTATCTGTTATTTTAGCCATTTCATGAGGTTTAGAGGAAAGAATTCATTGTTTGTTTCCACCACTGGCTTTCTTTTCCCCCTTTTTTAATCTCCTCAGAGGATAATTAGCTCACAGCTGGGTAAATCAGGAACATACTTTCATCATCCTTTCAAACTGCCTGTTGAGAGCTTAGGCTTCTCAGAAGCACTACAACATTGTTTGATACTAATATATGCATTTGTTCCCTACATGCAAAATTAATAGGTACAAGGATAGATAATCTCTGTTCCTGTTACACAGCAATGTAGTCAGTCAAGGGACAAGTATAAAAATAACAGTGAAAACACACGGAAAGCACCAAAGCACAAAACACCAGTCACTAAAGTCAAAGGCAAAAACCCTGAGGACCTACAAAGCCTCACTATGATGTAATTTCATTAACTTCTCATGAACGAAGCTATGTAAAAGGTAACTTACAGCTCAGTCACGTCTTTGGGAATTCCTTTGGGCAATATCCGCAGCCCTTTGTTGCTGCAGCGTACCACCGAGTCCACACAGGTACACTGGGAAGGGCAGGGAGGTGAAAGCAAGCAGCTGCTTTCTTCATTACCTGCAGCGGGAGAGAAACGGAGCATTAGGGAGGCAGCTTTACAACCCAAAGTCATGCACCTTGAAGAGAACTGCTTACAAGGACCAAGGAGGAACATCCCTGAATCCAGGGTAACCATCACAATAAAGCAGATCCAATGTTTTGGATCAAGGGGCCTTCATACAGGCTCTGCAGGCAACATGAAAAATGGCTCAAAACTCAAATAAATAGATTTTCCAATAAATGTTTTCTTCTAAGGAATATCTACTTCTCTCTAGTTTTGCAAATGACAGTAAAATTAGTTGTGTGAATCACAAAACCTCCCCCAGCCCAATGTACTGGTTGAAATGCAGAACTAGACCAGAACATTGCCCTTAAATTAATCTAGACAGAAGATATATGCTATCTACTCTGCTTTAGGAAGATTTTTTTTAAATTCAGCTTTTTAGCTGTTTATTTTTCTCTTTTTAAAGTCAGCCTGGCACTTCATTTATCATCTGAATTGTAAAACCTCATTGTTTTTGACAAGGATAACCAGGCAAAGAACAAACTGAGCAGCATACTTCCAACTGCTGGTGATCCATCTGTGCACACATAAAAATATCTACTTTCTCCAAAAGTGGTTTCAAAGGTCCATAAACAGCAGATTAAATCTTGTAACAGAAGAACAATGGGCTTTCTGCAGAAGAAACCAACTCTTTGAAGTTAAGAACATTAAAGCATTCATTTTCCCTAAAAGCAACAGGCTTAGCAAAGCATAAGGCAAATGCATGCTACAGTGTCATGATGTATATGAAAGGAAACACTTAGTGGCACATTCTCTAGATGACAGTGAGAGGAACCACACAACTGTTGGTGAGTACAGGCAGCCTGAGCCGACCCGCATGGAAACAGTGCTGCAACCCGCAAGCACACAACCAGCTTGCTTTAACTTTGTTCTAACTGCTCCAAGGACTAACTGAGACGGATCTGTTTCCTTCTTTGCTCTGCTGGAAGTGCCCATGAGCACTAAGATGATAGAATAAGACTGGAAGTCCTGATGCAAGATAACAAAATTACCCACCAATGTATGGGTAGGGAATTGGTCGTATTCAGAGGGACGGAGGAGCACAACCAGCCTACAGAAGAACAGGGAAGAATTTTTTTCTCTTTTTCTCTCCAGCAGAGCTTAATGACTGGAAACTGAATTCAAAGCCTTTCATAAACCTGCAGGAAGAGCACGTTTCTTCAGCATATTCAATTTTCCCCTAAGCTCTGTGTGTTACACCCTGCCACCATCTACCTTCCGTTCACCGCATCTGTCTGAGTGGCTTTCTGTGATACAGAAAGCTCTCAAGTGTGCAATGTCATTCTGTGGGCTAGGATTGATTTATTTATTTCTCCCAAACTAAGAGAAAATAATTCTTTACTGACTAAACTGAAGTCCTTTGAGCTCTGAGCCCAAGCTCCGGGGCCTGCTGCCAGACTGTACAACTGGGACAGGAATTCATTTCCACTCTAAGTAGGAAACTTCTATCACCTTCATGGTCTCTGTAGAGCTATGACTAACTGCAGCTCTACCATATCTGGTCTTAAGAGGCACTCACAGCCTACAAGTCAAGTTAGTCATGCAGTTATCAGTCAGTTTTTCTCCTTACTATTCTCTTTAAAATCTGCTTGATCAGAAGACAAAGAACTACCTGCAGAATGAAAGAAATGTCAGTTGTTTGCTTTTTTTTCGTAAAACCTATATGGATTCAGCAAGGCATCACTGAGTACTTTCAAATACAATTGTGGTTTAACTCCATCCAGTAACTCAGAACCACGCAGCCGCTTGCTCACTCCCCACTTTCTTCACCCCCGAGCTCCTGGAGGGACGGGGAGGAGAATCCAAAGAATGTAAACCCCATAGGCTGAGATAAGAACAGCTCGGTAACTAAGGTATAACACAAAACCACTACTGCTACCACCAGTAATAGTAATGATAAGGGAAATAACGGGGAGAGAATACCAGCGCTCACGACCTGCTGACAGATACCCAGCCCGACCTGAGCAGTGATCTGGGCCTTCTTGGTGACTGCCCCCAGTTTATACACAGGGCATGACGTGCTGTGGTATAGAATAGCCCTTTGGCTAGTTTGGGTCAGGTGTCCTGTCTCTGCTTCCTCCCGGCTTCCCGTGTCCCTCTTCACTGGCAGAGCATGAGATGGAAAAGTGCTTGATAGGAGTAAACATTACTTAGCAACAACTAAAAACGTCGGTGTTATCAGCGCTCTTCCCAGTCTAAAGTTGAAAACACAGCACTGCACCAGCTACTGAGAAGGAGAAAAATGACTGCTACAGCTGAATCCAGTACTGTATTCATACCTATTATTGGTGAAACTGAACAGCATCCAAAACTAAAAGACTTTCCAAGCAAGCACTGTTTCCACAGGCTTCACATTGTTAACTAACTGTATGAAAAAGGAAGTGGGAGGAAGGGCCAGGATCACATCAGTATTACCTAAAGGAGAGCATTTGTCTAGAATAATTTATTCTTCTATTTAGGTGTAGATAGTAGAAATTCAGAAACAGGAAATCAGAAGAAAAATGAACTCCTGATAGGAAACAATGATCTCTTCAGCTCTAGATGGCTCTCTTCCTCATCAGTGCTCACAGAGGTGCCAACATTATCATAATTGCCAAGAATTGGCTTTTCTTACCATCACAGGTGAAGTCCTGGACATCTACATCTTGGATTGGAATATCCTTTAAGAAAAAGGGTTTCAAGCAGCGTGGATTTCCACTGACAATTCTCTTCTTCCTCAACCATTTTCCCAGCCAGGCCAAATGGCAGTTACAATTAAAGGAGTTAGCCAGCAAATTACTGAAAAGGAAGAAAACATAATTGCATCAAACATGAACATACAGAAATACAGAAATAACTACAGAAAGATGATGGTTCCAAATCCAAGCTCTTTCCTGCCATCTGTTTCTCTGAGATCCTCCTCTTTTCTACAGATCAGGGAAGTTCTATGCAGGCTTCAGACTAGGACTGCGGTTGTAATTAAAATATATGCATATACATGTTTATAAATCAAAGTACACAGTGCTACAACTATTATTTAGAGATACTGACACCATTATCAGGGCTGTATTTACAGTGGATTTCAACCCAAGCTACCACTCACATCCAAGTCTAAACTCACCTCACACACTGCACCCACAAATCCATGATTTTCAACAGGATTACTTGGGGTAATGCCATGAAAAGCTTAGCACTGAGCTACACGTACCGCTCCCCATGTGGCTTAGCACACCAGTCCTTGCCCCAGTGTGCTCATGCTTCCCACTCACCTGTATTACAGCCCACACAAACCATTGTCAGCGGGAGCCACTGGCAAGCTGAATTTGGGTTTCCTATTGAAATAGTAAGGACAGCACTCTGCATGCACTAATGTATATCTAAAAAGCAGCATTGTCATCTTAGACCACTTCTTACGAAGCTTTCTAAGGTTAGTGTAGTAAAAAGAATCTGCTCTACTGGCCCATTCACTACAATCTACTCTAGTTGCAGCCTTGCTGCAACTGTGCTGTGCTGCGCAGTACCCAAAGCAACCACCTGACCTCGTCTGTGAGAGGGATGGATTCTTAACTCACCTTGGGTTAGCGGCATTTAAAAAAAGGAAAGCCCTATCCAGCCTGTTTTAAGCCATGAAAAAGTAGATGTGCAGCAAGTTTCTCAGTAGAGCTCCTGTATCATTGATAGTACAGAAAATATATTATTCATTCTATTTCTTAATAGGCTGTGATCCCTTCAATGAGTGTGAGAGTTGTTTTAAGCATCCATCTTTCCAAGCTAACTAGAAGTAGTGCTGAGTGTCTTGGAAAAACACTTTCCTGGAGTCCTGTGCTGAAATGCCTATCCATAACCTGTGCGTAAGGAGTTTTGTGACTAAACTGCAGATTAAGGAAAGAGGCTGATATTCCTTCCAAAAAACCCAGAAGGCTGACTATCTAATATATACAGACAGGGAGAATCAATGGCCTCAGTCTAAGGTTGCCTCACCGAAAAAAAATGAACTGTCAGAGCCCCATGTATGGTAAACAAAGTACCTAAACTAACAGCAATGGAATTCTCACATCATATCTGAATATGTCCAAGAGTTGTTATTTTGGTAATACAGACAAAAGATGATAACGGAATTTCTCTAAAGCACATCATATCTTAAAGACAAAAGAAAAAAATAATTAAGGCCTTAAAGAAACAGGCACTTTAAATGCAGGTGGAGTAGCCAAAGACCTTTAAGTCTTCACTTGCAACATGCTTTTACAAACCTAAACATGTAGGTTTTCAGCCAACCAATTCCTTCAGAAAACAATAGTGCTGAAGACAAAAACATATGGCACAGCTGAGGTGTGGCAGCAAGAAAACAAACCCAAAGCAGGTCTTAAATTATATAGGTTCTAGGCCAGCAGCACATACCCACAATACGACTTACAGCTGCTTTTGCATTGTAAAGGACCGTACTTCAATCACTACACTAGCCTGGAGCTCCGGGTGTGTAATTACATGTGGATCAAGCACAGGCTGTTGTACGTTGTGTGTAGGGGGAGAACTGGGGGCAGGAAAAAACTCAGCATAATTGTTCCATAATGAAAATACTCAACCTCCTTCATGCTGACTAGGGTTTGAAAGTAAGGCTAACTTGCAGTATAAAGGTGAGAAATGAACAGGTTCCGTCAGAGCTTTCAGGCAGAATGTGCAGAAAAGTCCTGAAAGGATTACTCTAATTCTAGTTACTTTCCTTCTGAATTGTTTTTCATTTTCTTTAATCCATAATGGGAACACATGCAGGATGCCTTGTATATTTTCCATACTGACACACTTTGGCATGAGCAGAGTGTTTAAACCAAATGTTTAAACCTCCAACGCTAAGTGAACCAATGCTTCAAAGGCCACTTGTTCCACTGATGGAAGTGAGTGAGATCATATTCACACAACATCTTCCGTGACACAAATCCGTTAGAATGAACTAATCCACAACTGGAAACAAGCAGCAGGTGTTTGTGGAAAACCAGCAGCTCTGAAGTAAAGAACATTTTGCACATCTAGAAAGCAACTTCCTGGGACACAGCAAGAACTCTCAAAAGCATTCAAATGGCAAATCAGAAAATGCTCCCATCTGAACAGTAATGAACCCTTCTACAGAGGAGAGACTGTCAGCAACAACCCACAAACCCTCACTTTCTTCTTGGCAAAAAGGTTAACACATGAACTAAAATTTATTAAATCCTTGGATCAGAATTTGGATTATGTTTTTCTTAGGAACTAAGAAATCAGGTTTTACAAATAAAATTAATAAACAGAGAAACAAACCTCCTGTTTTGAAATCCAAGAAACTGGGTAAAAAAGGACAAATTTCTCTTGTCATGCATTACACACATCCTCCTGGTGTAGCTTTACACACTTTAGCAACACCTAGATTTTGTTCTTTGTCCAGCTGCAGAGTGATTTGTTGCTTTAATGTACTATGAAGTTTAAATATGTCCCTGTGTATTTCCCATGGCAAGACTGTGATGCAACTTTTAGAAAAAAATGTAAGATCAAGGCTCTCTATAAGGGATCAGGGGGTTGGAACTAGATGATCTTAAGGTCCTTTCCAACCCTAACTATTCTATGATTCTATGTGGGACAAGAGATTCCCTACTCGAAAAGCAGCTGAAAGGCCAATTCCTTGTGAAGGCTTAATTTCCAAATCTGGCTATTCAAGTGGAGTTCTCAGGTCATACAGAGTAATGTTGGGCAGACAAATTGTTATAAAACTTCATCAGTAGTAATCAGAGTTTCTACGTGTAAGGCACTGATTTATCCATTCAAACAGAAGCAAAGCTATCAAGCTTTTAGCAAAGATGTTGTACTAACATTAAATTCACAAGTGTTTACTCAAGGACATAGACATATTTCTAAAATCATGGAGGAATACAAGTCCTGAGGAATGAAATATGCATATCCAACTGCAAGTGTCTCTTAAAAACTGCAAAGAAACCATTAGAATACTAATGATTTAAATAGATTCTAGTGACCTGTTAGACAAACATACTGAAACCCATCTGCATACTGTTGAAATTAGGTTGAAAACGTATCCTGGAATTCAGGTTACATTTATTCTAGAATAGTTTCATGTCATTCTGATGAACCAGTTCTTATTCTGGCTCCACGCAGCTATCAGAATAATAATTCATGGAAAACCAGTTCTGCTCACAAATAGGCCCACTTGAGTGTGTAAAGACTGAAAGACATGACTGAACTCTCTGTATGCAGAAGTGCAGGCAGACTTCAAATTAGAACGCTATAGCAGCTAGTTTGACCAGTAACAAATAAAAACCTCCTATTTTTTTTACCAATAACTTACAAAATACATGTTCTTCCTCTATTAATAACCATTCATCAGGGCATTATTTCCAGAGCTGTTTGTGTATAGATAATATGAATGAGGCTGACTCACAAAGAGCAACAACAAAAGGAGCAACAGTTTCTAGTGCTGTAAATATGCCAAGATAAAAATGGAAATGTTAAACTTTGTATGAATTTCTGGCTCACATTAATAGATGCAAAAATAAGTCATTACAATACCCGATTAACTCCCAAAGTGTGGGTTGAACAGGAAAAGCAGTCATACTATCTATCTTCAGTGGTGGTGTCATCTAATACATCCACCTACAGTGGAGAACTGCTAGGAAATGAACACATCTGAATTTTGAATTTATATGTGAAATAGCGCTATGGCCTTAAACCAATGCCTATAGAAGTGAAAAGCATCCCTTGTCCTACCTGAAGATCAAGAACAGGGTGAAAATGTGTCAATGAACAAGCTTTTCATCAAGACATGGCTAGGAACCTGCCATGAGCAGCATGATTAGAGATCATTGCCAAAGCAAGGCATTCTAATTAACAGCAGCTTTAATTGCTGTTGTTAGAAATAGTAATAATCTTTACCCACAGTTGAAAACAGAAGAAAGTGGGCTATCTTCTAACAAAATATGACAAACATGCTTTATGCAAACAAAGTAGGGACTTTATAGACTGACTCAGAGTCACAGCTATTAAAGATGCAAGTACAGGAGTCGCAGGCAGGCACTGCTTGCAGCACAGGGAGAACAAGCTTTCAGCAAGTAGCACTCGCTTTGAACACTGACTTGAAAACAGTCAATAAAATGAATCTGGTTGTGTCTCTCTCTTTGACCACTAATTTCAAGGAGGCTTTTGGGACTACAGAAAGTAAATGGAAGAGAAGTTCCTCATGCTGCATGAAGCTTAACGCCAAAATCAGAGCTGATCTGCTGGTGAAAAGTTCTAACAACAGAATGAATATATGAGCAACAAAATAACTGATATTTAACACTACTTTTTTTCCTCCAAAACATGATGGAGAATGCTTTCAAAACCTGAAATACAGTAGCACCAACAGTATATTTTGACTGGACAATTAGGATGTAGTTTCAGGGCAGACAACTTCCATTAACAGCAACATCGGGGGCCCCATTCACAGCTGGAAACAAAGGGCAGACTTTCGTTCCATATTTATCAGTCTGCACTTTATTAAAATGGACACACTACCATAAGCATGTGAACATATTTAAGAAGCAAGGGGAGTACTTCAAAGAAGGATAGAGGTTTATCAGAACAGCTTAGAATGGGATTTTTGAGTTCACATTCAACAGGACTTGAGTATTTGTCCTCTTAAGCTCTTCTAAAAATCTAAGCATTAGCTGGTAGGTTTCTTCTGATATTTAACTAATTTAATTGAAATCCAAGAAAGCTGTTCTTACAAAATTAGACTCTACTGAAACTAAAGCAGCTTCAGGGAGCTAAAGTGTATGACAAACTATGCACTTCTGAAGCGGCAGAGCATCTTTTACATGAACTTCTGCTGTGCATTGAATAGATTACGACTGCACAAGAGTCGCCCTGCCCCAGCCTGGCAGCCTCCAAGTGTTTTCAGCCACTCCAGCTGAAGCAATTCCTATGTTTTTCAACTGTTTTCTTAAATACCACCTTGAATCCTCCAAACATGCAATTGCAGTAGGATGGGGTTTTCTTTTGCTAAATGGGGTTTTCTGTACATGAACAATAAGTAGCTTGATTTTGCAAAAGCACAGAATAACAGCATCATGACAAGTTCATACCATAAAAAGATAACTTACATTGTAGACAAAGAGACTAATGTGCTGAAGGCTCCAGGGGTGATAGTACTGATGTGATTGTCATACAGAGAAAGAAGCCTCACTGAGCTCAGTCCAGCAAAGGTGTCATTGTTTATACAGCTGATAGAGTTGCTCCTCAGCATCCTGCAAGGATTAAAACAGGGAATTAGGAACTATGGGGGGTGATGGGATGGTGAGGATGGTGGTGTATGATTTCAGGATAGGAGATCCTTTATCTAGGGCATCAATGCATGCTTTGGCAAGCACTGTGCTCTACTTTCATTGATTGCTGAAGTACAACACAGCTATAGGAGGGCTACATTCATGTAAACACTGCCTCATGAATTTAAAATGCCTTTCTTCCACACAACATTAGAAGCTGATGATCCACACCTCGAAGTAGGACACAATTAACATTACAACTAGTGAGAACCTTGAAATAAAAGCTAAAGTCTTCATTTAGTAAATATCTGAGAGTAAGCAAAGAGGTGTTTCAGAGATCAGCTGAGAAAGAATGCCAGAAATGTGTGACAATAACAATACTGGCTGTATCCTGTCTACTCCTGTCGTGGATGTAGAATCTGTGGAATCCACACTGCATAAGTATGGAAGGAAACAGCATCCTCAGCAGAAATCAAGGAATAGCTTAAGAAAGAACCCCAGACCTAACACAAGCTTTGAAATGTCATTATACTCATTAATTGACAAGACAGAAAGCAGTAACCATCCTATAAAATGGTCTTTGCTCAGTGTTTGTACCAGATGAATCAGTGCTGTGTTTTGGATGATACATCTCTCTGAGTTGTTATGGTAACAATGAATTCAACGATAAAGCCCAATTAATCCGAAAGGCTGTAGTATCTTGTTTCACTCCATAACAAAAAAGGCTCACGTATATTTGTTACACTGCATGCCAATCAACATCTGGGGCTGTAAGCATCATTACCCTGGTGTGATATTCCTATTTAGGTGAAAAATTACCCAGTAATTAAAGCATACTACCAAAAATCCACAAAATATATGCAGCTCATGCTGCTGTTGCGGTGAATTGATCCTCGTTAATTCCTTGGTATCAAATTCATGCAGCGAACAACGAAAATTCTGGCTCCTTTAGGAGTCTGGATTTAAATCTCAGATTGGTATCCACCAGATGGGTACTCAGATGCTACATCAATAGATACTTGAAAAATACCACAGAGAGATTAGACATGGCTGGGAAGAAATTCACAGTGTAATCACAAACACTCAGTGTTTAAGTCCTGAGCATAACATTGCTTTTGATTTACTGTTCTCTAGGTACATTTAACATCACAGGCTCCATGGTCTCAACAGTTCTGGTCTTGCAACTGTGGTGAAACTGTGCCAGAAAAGCATCGCAGGGCTCAGACCCACACACCTTAACATGTGGAGTACTAAGCTGCCTGAAAGCCAGGTCAAGATCACAAGCTCTAAAATGAAGGGGGCAGTAAACAGGACGAGTAAGACCTTAGCAACAGTAGGAAACATCTGAATTCTGTATGTAAAGTATCAGACTGTAGTACTGCAAGATGGGGTAACTGAATTTGGATGCCAGTCTTGCACAGTGCTTTATTACATGTCAGAAAACAGTCTTTTAAAAACTGGACCATGACCCTGTCCACTGAGGCCTCTTTATAAAAGATCACAATCTTAATGTTCAGAGAAAGTCAATTAATGGATAGAAATATATGTTCCTCAAGCCAAAACCTTTGGTTTCGAATCACAGTTCACGGTGCACTGTGTGCCCTTCCTGCAGGAAAACTTATACTTACAGATCCTCATATCATGCTGTGTATATTTAGACTGCTTTATGGGCTGGGGGGAAATGTAGGTCAGGTCAGCAGGATAGCTTGACTGTTAAGCATCTTTTTATTAAAAAAGGCTGAATTTTATTTAGGAGCACTGCCACAGGCTGCTTTACACTATAAAAATTAATTTAGTGTCTATGGGCGCTATTTTCAAATCCCTCACTAAAGTGCATACATTAAATTAAAGAACAGATGGCTGCAACTACAGAAAAAAATATTAAAGGAACAGCAAAAGGAAAGTTCCCTATTCATCATTACAGGCCAAAGTCCTTGAAGGAAAGTTTTCTTTCTACACTTGAGTAGGGACTGAAGTAATCATGCCACTATATTCTGTAACATATTTGTTGCAAATGAATAAATCACAGATTTTAAATTGCATTTGATTCCTAGAGTCTGTTTGCTGACAGCATCCACCTAGTCAAGTGCTTTCTTCCCACAGCAGGGAAGACTATGCAAGAGATGTATTTTTTATGTACACAGCATAGATACTGTCTGGCATGAATCTCTGCTGTCACCAGAAGCCTAGTCCCTGACTGCTTCTCAGGATGGTGGATGGGGTGGATTAAACATTATCTTGAAATCTTGTTTATGATTCCTCTTCCAATATAACTTTTAACATGAAGATAAATTAGTGTTAGCAGCTATGAGTTTACATGTGTTAGTTCTCAGAAATAAATCAGAGCACAAAAGTAATACCAAACTGATTCCTTATTCATCTGGGCTCTGTCTCCTTCACATTCTCCCCAACAACAAGCATATGAATAGTATACCCACACCATTTTTATGGTACTTAGCGTGGGCAAGAAAGAGCATGCTGTGGCTAGTCCAAAGCCATACCTGTGCTTGTGGGATATACACCTGGTGCAGAGCGAGTGGCCAGCTACCTTCTGTCAGCAGGACCTGTAACAGTTTGGTCATGCCTGCTCTGAAGTTGTTTAGCTCTACCTGTTTTGGTAGCAGTAATAACTTGAGTCTTTCCTTTACCTACTGATTTCTTAAGAGTTTGTAGGATATTAAAAATCTTTTAGGATCCTAGCATACTCTGGGGTTTGGTTTAAGCAGACCAACAGTTTCAATTTGGGTGAAGGCTGAGCAGAAGGACGGATTAAGAAACAGCAAATGTGTTCCTACATGCCTTGTTTCCATAGGAAATAACAAAATAATAGAAGTTTTAAATGATTAAAGGTGCCTCATTTGATCATGAATTTCACTATCATGTTACTCCTGAAATTTTTGAAAATCTGTTTTTTTACACAAATAGCAGATAATTCTCAAAGCTACCCAGGGCTAGAAATATATTGAAGACTTCGTGACAGTGATGCAAAACCCTGCCTTGGAGCTTGCTGTCTAGAGACATATATTTTAGCAGGCACTGCTGAACTTGAGCACTCCCACTCAACTTAGAGGGATAGAGAAAGCCAGGTCTTTGCACTTACAATGTCTTTAGCCCTGAGAGGCCTCGAAACATGCGTCCGTGCACTGACTCCAGTTGATTCTCTGTCAGAATCAGCTCCTGCACTCCTGAAGCTCCATCAAATGTGCCTTCTCGGATCTCCTTGATCTTGTTGTTGCTTAGATTTCTGGAAGGACACAGCCAGTCACAATAAGAAAGTTGTTACTGTTCTATTCCAAACATATGTCATCACAAGGGAAGGAGGAAGATAGGAAGAATATGTGCCTTTTTGTAGTTATCTAGAGACATTCTTTCAGCAAGAGGAACGTAGAGAAGTTCAAAAGCGTACCTACTGTACTTACACATAGTTTGCCTTCACTCTTCAAGACCACAGTAATATCAGATATATCAAAAGTCTTTAAGTTAATAGTATTACCAGCTTTTACACCTCATGTCATTCTTGCTTATAAATGTCTCATGGATACAAAAAGTGGGGGTTTCTAACATCTGATTTATGTCCATGAATTTATGGACCACGCTTGGGACTGGGGGCTCACCCTGCAAGAATCATGTAATGTTACTACCACGGAAATAGGTGTCACACACTGGAATAAGGCCCACTTTTATTTCGCGTGCTAAGACCCTTACTCTTTTTAAACTCGGCACAGGAGTAACATACAAACCTGTGTAACTGCATGTACCTGATGTAAATTCCAATAGTTTCACTCATGAACTTGCAGGCACCTCTCAAAATGAAATGAGCAGCACTTAATCCTCAATTCACAGTTTCTGCAATATGCAGCATTATTTTCTAAATATTTACTCTGCCTATAGAGTCTCAAGATGTTTGCTTACAGATCAGCCTGGGAAAAGTTCAATCTACAAAGTCAAATGAACTCTGATGAAATGCAAAATCACTCTTTTGAATATTTCATCTTTGTGCAAAACCCAGTGAATCGACAACTTCTGAATGACAAAACGCCATCAGAGATGCATTAAAATAAATGGCTTTTAATTATTTAAAACTTTTCTATAGAAGTCCTTAAGCACATTAAAACCTTGGGCTTCAGTCCTTCAAGCATCTCCTATGATGCCCTGTATAGATTACGATGAATGAACCTATTTGTTTAGGTTTACAACAGGAAACACTATTTATTCTTCCTTTTGCTGCCTATAACAAAAAAAGAAAAGTAAAAGACAGGCTTTTGCTCCCAAGAAGATGCCAAATTCCAACATTACTAATCATACTGAATAGCACATTATTCCATAAATGATCCCAGTAGACATGCAGCATGAGTAGTAGTTTCAGACTCCAAGTCCAGGTGATATAAACAAGTGACAAGGTATCAGATTAACACCTGGGCCACTCTGCTCAGAAGAACAGGGCAATCTTGTTGGGATAAAAGTCGACAGAAGACATGGGAACAGCACAGCTTGGCCTCAGATAGAGATATGTGGGTCTTGCTCTTCGCAGAAGTCATCACTTAATAAAAGAAAGCCAAGTCTTGGAGCTGTGTTTCATGTGGGAAACTTGAGAACGCTGGTTCATTGCAGAACAACTGTCAGACAGTGGGCCCTACAGCATGTGGCCCATCACCTCTTGTGCATTCTGTGATCAGAAAGGAGTATGCCAGCTATCAGCCAAAAATAACATTAAAAAATACAGAAATACTTACATGCAGATTTTGCTTTCCAGAAGTTTAGTACTTTGTGCTAACACTCACTTGAAGAGTTTATGTTCAATGTCAAAGCTAGTCAAGGAAGGATATTCTGACATATGCATTTAATTTTGGGCCTCAGCTATTTCTTTAGTGGAAATGCTTATAGCTCAGCATCTCTTTTGAATACTGGCATAAAGAAATGCTCCCAGTGATCCTTTTCCTGGTAAAGATCATGTCATGATGCATATTTGCACAAAAATACATGAACAAATAAATAAATGCTTGTGGGGGGGGGGAGGGTGTTACTACAATGCACAAAGACTTTGACTTTCAGTTCACAGACTGCAAACTGACATACTTGTAGTTACCAAGTCTTATTAATATTTTTAATATCTAAAAGATATTTAGGCACTTGGTGCAATTTTAATGGATGATCCAAAGCAAAAGAAAGAGCAAATACTGGAGAAAAAAGGCTGGCCATAATTTGTAAAGAAATTGGCACTTTCATACAATCCAAACCATCTGAGTTTTAATTGCTGCCAAAGAACTCCTGTAGATAGGCAAGTTCACTCAGCTGAGTTAATAATGCCGGATCATTTCAACAACACAGAACTATCCAAAAATATTCTAGTGGTGTTAGAAGAAGCCAGTTTTATAAACCTTTCCCATGCAAAAGATTTGAAAATCCAAGATCAAATGCTATGGTGAAACTTGAAAGTTGCAAGGCAGAGAAGAGACAAGCTTTACAATAATAAATAGGCAAAGGAGGCCAGGTTGGACAGGGCTTGGAGCAACCTGCTCTAGTGGAAGGTGTCCCTGCCTGGGGCAGGGGGTGAAACTGGATGAGCTTTAAGGTTCCTTCCAACCCAAATCAGTCTGGGATTCTATGACTGTCAAAGCAGATGTTCTGCCAACCTGGATTTCTTTATTTGTCTTCCTGAATTAAAGCTTCCCATAAGGGACTGCAAAGACAAAGAAAAGGTAGAGGACAGCTCTCATTTACTACAAAAAATTCTGAATGCGTCCTCCTGGAATCCTGCCCTACTTGAATAACAAACATGAGGAATTACACACTCTTCAGTCTACAGCTGCCAGCAAAAATGACCAGCTGATACAATCCTTGAAAGATGAAGGCACTGAAGCTTCGGCCTGCTTTGCAGCTCAGGAGAGCTCTCCATCATCCTTCCCAGCACTAAAGAACTTTTAATAGATGATCATGGCACTTGATAAGGAATTTACCTAATTGTTTTTAATCAGAAAAACACTTCTGCAACTTTACAGCAAAGTCCCATCAGAGAAAAGCCCATCCTCTTACAATGCTCAGCTTTTGTAAGGAATTCATGACATACTGGAAGACAATGAAAAAGAAAATGGATCTTGAGGAATTCCCATGATACCTGTGCCCTCTGGCAGGGCCCAAATGGGAACCTATAGCAACCTGGTCACACAAGAAACGTTATTGTTTCCATAAGAACTCTCTGATTTACCCTGGTTATAATGTTTAATCCTATTTCCAGCCTTTTCTTTTGGGTAAGAGGTCAAAAGAAGTTTTCAGAAAGCCTGGGCTTACTTTATGTGGGGCTATGAATAGGAAATGAACAGATCCAAGGAGGTATCAAGCTGACTTTGCTCACACAGCTCACTTTCCAGTCAGATTTTACTTACTTGATGGCCATGGTTTATAATAGCATTATTTCTGTGGACCTTGTAACTTCCAGAAAATGAACTCTGTTCTGTAGAACAAGTGACAGATGAGTGCAACCTCCATTGCCATGGCAAAATTCATGCTTAGGGGAAGGAACAGTAGGTAACAGCTGTTTCCAAGGACACAAACTACTTTTACCTCCCCAAGAAACTTGAGATGCTGTTTTTGGAACTGACTGCTAGACTGCAAACTTTATCATGATTCAATTTTATTTTGCATGTGAAATGTGTTAAATCCTGGGCTGACACTCCATGAAATTCAATGTGGGAGAAATATTGACAGACAAATTAAGCCTCCAAAAGCAATGATACACTAGAGGTGGGTTTGGCAATACCAGCTATTGCCAAGACAGCCTGACACTTCCTAATGTAAGACCACGCTTTATGTTCACTTTGCAACTTTGGCAAGAGGTAACAGTATGAACTGTTAAACGTCCCTTTCAGGTTTGAAGGTATCACCTTGTTTGAATGCGAGCTCACTGCCATTTTTAACTCTACAGAAACAGCTGCTGGGACCTCAGTGGGAATGGCCAGTCCCACTGATCTCCTATAGGCAATGGGGAGTGGGCACGCTCTGGAGCTGCAGCCTGTCCCGATGGGTCAGCATTCCATTTCAGCAAGCAAGTGTATCTCTGTGCTCCCACTGAGTTACGTACCCAGGGGGGTTTGGAGCCTAAACCTGTTTGCCATGGCCAGAAGACGCCTCCAGGGTCTCACTGCCAATGGAAGCCCTGAAGCACTGGATTATTTCTTCAGTGATTAACAACTTGAGGTAGTCCCAGGGAGTCATGGGGTCTCCAGGCTTGCTTCAGGATCAATTTGGTCGCTGCTGTGAGGAAAGAACTGCTCCTTCCACAAAGGTAAACCCCTGACCTCTGCGAATGGTGGCGTTGCCCCTCACCCCTGCCTGACGTGGGATCTTGCTTGTGTGGAGTAGGATCTCCCTTGGGCAATACCGTCGTCTGTAAAAGGCAGATGCTTCCAGCTCCCAGGCTGGCAGGCAGCAGATTCTGGAGCCTTTCTATCTCACAAGGACAGCATATTCCCAAAACCTCAAGTCACAGATGTGCTCTCAATCTCATGGAGCTCAGAAATTCAGCCTTGTATTCAGAATCATAGTCATAGAATAGTTAGGGTTGGAAAGGACCATCTAGTTCCCAGCCCCCTGCCATGTGCAGGGACACCTCACACTAAACCATGTCACCCAAGGCTCTGTCCAATCTGGCCTTGAAGACTGACAGGGATGGAGCATTCACAGCCTCCCTGGGCAACCCATTCTAGTGCCTCACCACCCCCATATGGAAGAGCTTCTGCCTTATCTCTAACCTGAACTTCCCCTGTTTAAGTTTTAACCCATTACCCCTTGTCCTATCACTACAGTCCCTAATGAAGAGCTCCTCTCCAGCATCCCTATAGGCCCCCTTCAGATACTGGAAGGCTGCTATGAGGTCTCCACGCAGCCTTCTCTTCTCCAGGCTGAACAGCCCCAACTTCCTCAGCCTATCTTCATACAGGAGGTGCTCCAGTCCCCTGATCATCCTCGTGGCCTCCTCTGGACTTGTTCCAACAGTTCCATGTCCTTTTTATGTTGAGGACACCAGAACTGCACACAATGCTCCAGGTGAGGTTTCACAAGAGCAGAGGGGCAGGATCACCTCCTTCGACCTGCTGGTCACGCTCCTTTGGATGCAGCCCAGGATACGGTTGGTTTCTGGGCTGCAAGCACACACTGAAGCCGGCTCATGTTCATTTTCTCATTGACCAACACCCCCAAGTACTTCTGTGCAGGGCTGCTCTGAATCTCTTCTCTGCCCAACCTGTAGCTGTGCCTGGGATTGCTCCCACCCAGGTGTAGGACCTTGCACTTGGCATGGTTGAACTTCTCCTGCACTTCAAGCAGATTCAAACTGCTCCTTTCAAACTGCCCTGCAAAATGCTGGCAACACAGCTCTTGGAGCCTGGAAATCACTGCAATGCGACTTAAGCTGTAGAGACAAGTCATCCCTTTGCGCCTGTGAGATCAGGTGAGGCAGGATGGTAAGAACACAGTGAAAACAACATCGTTCAAGGCAGTCTGGAAAACCCACCGGAGAACTCAGTAAATTACCTCTGGACTGGGTTAGACCTGTCTACAGGAATGCACATTGCCTTTTTATTCTACTGTAAAAAGCATCAAATATAAGGATGGGTTAAAATGTGAGTTATAAACCAGCATGATGTAAATGGGATTTTGCAGTTAATTATTGAAGTTGAGGCGTTGGGTTTTGTTTTTTAAAAGGCATATGCAGATGTATTAACCTTTTAAAAATCAGCCAAGGAATCTCAGCAATTTAAATCCTAAATAGCATGTGGCATAACTTTGCATTCTGGGTCTGTGACCTTTACATTTCTATATCAAGAATTCCATTTTGATTTACATTAAAATGTATTAAAACCTGCGCTGACACATCATACAATAAGGTTCACCTTAGGAGGAATACTTACAGACAAATTACAACCCAAAAGCTAATTATACATTAGAGGTAGCGCTGGCAGTACCACCTCTTGCAAAGGTGGTCTGAGACTTCCTTTTTCTTTGTATATACTTACTTTATAACATCTGCAATATTCAAGAGAATGAGCTGCCAGTTGAGGTCCTCCTTGTCTTTAGAGGTAGACACTTTCTACCTTTCTTTTTCTTTCTTTTTTTCTTTTTTAAACGGAGGAAGGAAGTTCACCTATTCCAGAAAATGAAACTGACCAACGTACCATGGTTCCCATATCTCAAACCTCTTTTTGTGGAAAGACCAAAGCACTCACATTCTGATTTCAAACTTGTTACTTGGTAACTACCATGTAGGTGTTTAATTCAAAGGATACATCTTCATTGTGAAAATGTGTTAGGGTTTGGCTGAACTCTTAGTCTTTAACAAAGAGCTTTAAGATTCCTGCCACATCCAGGAAGACTATAAGACACACTTCTTTGGAAAATTTGTATTTCAGTAGCTAATTTTCCAGAGATTTTTTTTTTCAATTCAGATTCTTCTTCAGATGACATCTTCTGATGTCTCCCAGGACAGAGATACTGTAGTGACAGGACAAGGGGTGATGTGTTTAAACTTAAACAGGGGAAGTTTAGGTTAGATATAAGGAAGGAGCTCTTCCCTGTGAGGGTGCTGAGGCGCTGGCACAGGGTGCCCAGAGAAGCTGTGGCTGCCCCATCCCTGGCAGTGTTCAAGGCCAGGTTGGACACAGGGGCTTGGAGCAAGCTGCTCTAGTGGAAGGTGTCCGTGATGGTGGTAGTGGTTAAACTGGATGATCTTAAGGTCCTTTCCAACATAAGCCATTCTATGATTCTATATTCTATGATAATGAGGGTTTCAGCACTATTCTTCCTCCTTAACTTAACAGCAGCTCGATGAAGAGCGCATGCATTGCATTCCTGCCACATACAGGGATTTGCTGCATTAGGACCATCATCAGCGGCAATCCCACCCACTGATCTTTCCCTACATTTCCCTTCTTGCATATGTTTATGGTTTAAATGTTGCTCCACTTACACAAAAAATAAACCCTTTGCAGAAAATCCCTTTATTCAAATTGAGATACTTCTTTCCAGTCAGCTAGAAAAAGAGAAATTAGCTTAACTACAAAGACTGACTAAAGAGCCTCTGCTTGGAGGCTGCCGCTTAAAATCTGTATGACAGAGACCTTTTCTGAGTTGTAGGGCACAAGCCCTTTCTGCCATCCATCTGAACTGCACCTGTATACCTCGGTTCTCATGTCCTACCAAGAAATCTCTACAGAGCAGAAAAATCTTTTGTTTCCCAGGAAACAAAACCTCTTAAAAAACCTCTTGTAACTCTTTCATGTTGCATTTATGTACAACACTGCAGCCCAGTTAAGGCACCTGAGTGACTGATGGGAACAGAAGGACAGAGCTGGAATTTGCCCACATTAAGTTTAAATCCTTCCAGCTCTTACACCTCCCCGATTTTCCAGACTTAAATCCTGAAGGTTTCATGAGGACAGATGCTTTCCAATTCGTGTATACTTCTATATACCACACATTTTTCATGCCCACCGACTATCTACTTATACAGACAAAACAGCACTTCAACAATGTCAACAGCCTTTTCTAAGTGCACCGTAGCTACAACTTACAGATCATTCATAAGCTATGAAGCTGGAGTATATGATTAATTCCCCAAGCCTGGCAGCCTGCACTTGCACAAACACAGCCCCCACTCCCAAACCTGCAGCGCTGCATATGAAGCTCCTGCAGAAATAAAACTGACATAAGAATCCCACTACAGTGGTCTCCAAAGCCCCATAGATCTTACATGGATTCCAGTGGCAGGGGAGCTCCAGATGGTAGCAACCACGTGAAATGAATGCAGCAGAAAAAGCCTGGGTGGTTGGTTTCCCTAAATTACCTTGACTTGAGCAATAAAATCTTACTAAAGCAAACAGTTAGATGAGAAATTAGCAATGGGGCCATAGGGTTAAAACTTTAAATAACTTCAAAAAGAACCATTTGGAAGACTATCAGGAGGCATCTAACATATTATCCTCTTTCCAAAACACAGCTCTTATTAAATATAGACATTGCCAAGACTCAGGCTGTTAACAGAATCATATTTGAATGACTGATCTCTAAATTAGCTAAATGAGTCTCTTTTCTAAAATAATAATGATCAAAAGAAGCTGCCATCATCTGCAGCTTGTAATATTACTTTCCTTTGACTATGTGAAGCAATCACACTAGTTGGAGTCACACAATACAGTCAGAAGACAAAACCAAAATGCTAAATTCTGTAGCCATCTCTAACAATAAGCACAAATCTGAATATATTCTGGGACAGAATTCCCTCCAGTCTCCATGAGTCAAAGACTTTAACAAATATAGTCTAAAGAATAATGAAGTGTCAGCCTAGGGATCTTCCTGTGTCACTGTGGTTTACTTGGGTCTGTCCCCTAACAGGTAACTCACTCAGTTTCCTTAAATTCATATTTAAGAAGAGATTTCTGCTACTGCAGTACTAAATTCTAAAAACCATCATCCCTCCCCCCTTCCTTACAATCCAAGGCAACGTGTGTTCTAACAAGCAAGTGACTCAAACTTACATTTTTCGGAGGTTGGGCAATTTCTTGAAGAGCCCGATGGCTTCCAAAACAGAAATATCATTGTCATTCAGACGCCTGATAGGAACAAACAAAGAGACATTTAGTACTTCACAGATGCCTACAGATATATCTCTGTGACATACAGGGCTGCCACACAGAGAACTATGACCTTTGTTAAGCAAGATCCTATCTGCCATCTCTCTCAGACTGCCAGAGTGAAAAGAGTCTGGCTTTGAAGGAAAGGGAACATAGAAGAGTTTCCATAGTAAAAGCTTTAGATGCCTTTAAGAGTGTAATGCCAAAGGACAGTATCAGAATGCCTCCTCCTTCCAATGCACAGGATAAGGGATTATTAACCTTAACCATTACACAGCCTTGTTTGCGTGACTAAATCTCCCTCATGCGTTCTGCTACAAAAGACATGCAATTGGAGATGTGGCCTGTCTAAAGGGAAGGGATCTGATTTCAGGTTCTTTCCCATCAAAGTCTGCTGGTCTTCAAAACCAGTGCAAAGGCCACTGGCTTATACTTCGCATGCAAAATTCTTCTCTGATTACATGTAGCTCCATTTTTCTGGGTAGAGACTTCACTGTGTTTCTGGTAGTCTCTCACATTTTTCTCTTAACTTCAGATCAACAATTTCTATGAGGGTTTAAATAGAAGTATAGTAAGAATATTAACACAAAAAGAGAACTGTGTTTGAAGGGGATACTAATATAGCAAGGAGACAGATTCTTCAGCTACTAAGTAATAAAGTAATAAATATTCTTATATCTCTTTAGCATTATAACTCTGAAGTATCTCTAAAAGCAAATACATGTCACAAAATCACTTGTAGCTTAACAGCACATTGGTTTCAGTGAGAGCCATTTCACCCAAGCAGTAGGCACTGTTGAGATGGAGAGTTCCTGATCACAGATTTAACTCAAAAGGGTTAATCCATTTCTTAAGGAAAAATGACCAGATGCAAAGCCAAAGGGCACAAAGGCAGAATGGAAAGGAATCAGACAGCTTGGGCCACATAACAGGGCAGCACTTCAAGAAGACTCACACAGGCAGCTGATGCACAGGGCCACGGCTCTTTTCTCATCCCCACAGTTGGAAGGAATGCTAAGGAAATAAGAGAGTTGTGGCGCTCCTTTGAAATAAATTAACTTCCCCTCTTTCACACAGGGTTTAAAGTAGAAGGTGCCTTCTTGAAATGCTCTGAGTCCCTTTTATAGCCTTTAAAAAGCAGAAAACCCAACATGCCCTGCTGAGCACAGCATGGAGAGCAAGCACTTACAGATCAGTAGTATATTCAGGAAGGTGACTGGGTAATCGGGTGAGTTTTTGGTTAGAGCAGTCTACAATTGTTCCCTCGCAGCGACACTTCTCGGGACAGACAAGGTCCATGAAACACTTCCCAGTGAATTTACTTCTGTAATCCTCTGACCCTGCAAGGAAAGAAAAACACATTCCAGCAAATAGTTCTGACAACAGCAGCAAGCAAAGGTTTCATGGAATCCATTCTCAGCACCACCTCTTGTCAGCTCACAGCTCCTGCATGCTATTTTAATACTTGCCAAAGAGCTTTGTTCAGCAATCTTTCAAGTTACTCCAAGACTGGCCTCTGGTTTTTCACTCTTCCCTCGACACACTGATTCCTTGTCTGACAAACCTACCTACCTGTTAAGGTATGTTCCAGCAAAGTCACTTTTCCCCCATGTAGTCCAGCAACACGGAAAAGGGATGTTGTGAAAGCAGGAGCTACCTTGGCACACTCAAATGACAAAGGATTTTTACGGATGTCATTAAAAAGTCCCAAATTTTCAGAGCTCAGCTCTTGGAGTTATGTTTGAAAGCAGTCTTTTACGAGAGAACCTTGTCAATTTTCCAACAATTAGATACCTTTATTAACTATGTTAAACAAACAGCAAAGGAAAGTAATAGCAGTTTAAATCATTTTCATTTTAATTAAGGAACGGGTAGACCATACTTAGTGAGAAGCACTCCCTAATGTACCATTATACCATGATTGCCAGACCTCTCAGACTAGGTTTTTGACCCGTTCTAATGAAATGCTTTTCCAATTAAGCCCAGTGAACTAATCCGTCCCTTCCAGGTTTGGTTTTTCTCTTTTAATAACAGCAGGTTGGAAATCTGATCTCTGTGCTTCAAGGAACCAGGAGCATTAATAAATGTGTATGTAAGCAAAGCGTTGCCAAGCCCCTACCATGCAATACTTGCCCACTCACTTCATATTTCATAATGGAAGTACTGGAATTGTCTCAGGAACCAGTGACATTCCCAACAATTGTAAATACCAAGAAGTAGTTTTTAACTTTTCCAGACTTTTAAAAGTCAATTGCAAGGCCTTCTCAGGAATGACGTGAGCAGGTTCCGTTTCTAAGAACCTGAAAACATCAATAAAGACTTAAACCTGAGATGAAACTGGTTTTTAGAGACTTGATGACATTCAGCACCTGCTTCCCCTTCCCAGACTGATAAATACACCTCTGCTCATTTTATGACCACATGCTATTTTCCATAAGAAAAAAAGAAGTCACCTAAACCCACTATTATTTTAATTCATGTTGCACATTACCTCCACAGGCTGAGGCACCGAAAGTGAGCAGTTCTGCAGGCACTCTTAACATTGTGATTCCACAGATACACTCCAGTCTAGCTTTGTAATTCTGAACTAGATTATCAGAAACATCACATACAGCTTTGGACATTACCTTCTGTGGTGCCAAGTACTTTGCAAGTTATCATGCCGATTGTAACTTCTAGATTTGTGAAGTCTAAAGTCAGACTTCACGACTGTTTTACAGGTTGACAGCACAGCACTTAAAATATTAGGATTACTGGGCATTTTAAAGTGTAACAAAAATACAGTCTAAGCCTTTCCCCACACCACCATCATTTAAACTTTCAAAACCCCCATCTGATTTCCAGGCCTCAAAAATCCAGGCTTGGTAGTCAGGCTAAAATATCAGGTATATTATGGCTTGGCTACAAGAACATACAGCTATTCTTTTTCAGGTCTATGGGACAGTACCTTCGGTTGTTTATGATTCCTTGGAAATAATGCTGAAGCTGAACAGTTGCCAGGACCAGAGTTGATTAAACTGCCACAGTTATAGTATACCTTGAAAAACCCACCAAACTTTTCAGTGATCAGAGAGTGTCTTGGAAATCCCCAAATCAACCCTTGAAGAAGCACTTCTAATCCTTACTGTAAAAGTTTTCCTGGAAAGAATAACCACAAACACCATGAAGTTGCACAAGGTAAAAGTTTATTCAGTATAATTTTTTGTCTACTGGTGGACACAAGATTCATCTTGCTATGGCAAAACAAAAGAAGGTTGGGAAAGTGGAATGCTTCATGAAAGACAAAAAAGGGGTATATAACATTAGAAGGCAAGAATCAGGTTTTGGTTTTCTCTCAAGCTTTCGGGCAAAGTAAATAAAGAACATTTATCACATTTTGACTTAGCAGCTTCACTCTCCTGAAGCCATATGACTTTCCACACTCCATCAGCTGTAAGAAGTTCATCTTCTAAGTAACAGTTACCCAGGTAAGCACTGAGTCTGAAGTAATCAATAGCATATATATGCTCAGCAAGTAGTCATCTGTTAGCCTGTGAGACAGCAGGAATCACCTGCCAAAGACTAGATAAAATTTACTATTTGACCTGAGCCTTGAGATTACTTGGGCAGGTGGCTGCTTTATTAAGATATTCCCATCTGGGGAAGTAATGTGAAATTCAGCCATCTGTTTGCAGAGCTATTTAAGTGTGTATATTCATTTCTCCACACAGGGCTTTACCAGTGTACTGCTGCAGGGCTCTGAGTGAACATGACTGGATTCAGGAAGTGCAGTTAACTGTCTCAGGTATGTAGTACTTCTTACACACTACGGAATCACCTGTGGAAACCCATTGAAAAGAGATGCAGGATGGAACATGGCCTGAGAGTTTCTGGTCATTTCTAAAATTAGAAAGAATTGTTTGCTGTAAAACAAGTAGCCAAGGCAACAGCAAGGCCTGTGTTTAACGGAGAACAACTGTGTTTACCTGAATTGCTAGCTACTCTTGATAACGTTTTCATTTCACAACCTATGTGACATCATGTCGTGGGTTAAGCCCAGCCGGTAAGAAGGAGTAAAGTAACTGTTAGAGCTGAACCCATTACACAGCACTGTCAGGTTCCAGGGCACTGCAGATCCTCAGTATCATAACCCAAACACACATGTCATTCTACAAAACAGCACATTTCCAATTTTAGGTGCTTTTCTAATACCCACGTGGAAAAATTAAACAGCAGAAACAAACACCTTTTGGTCCTATTCTTCTTTCTAGGCACTGTTTAGCAAAATAAGTTGGTTTTAAAACTTAGGTTTGCCCAAAGGACATAAAAGGAGTGCTGGATGATCTGTTCTGGAAAAAATCAAGCTGTCTCAACAGGGGCTTGAATATATTCATCCTAGAAAAGATGGATCCAGCTGCCTCAAATTTGGCACCAAAAATATCATCCCTGAGATCACTTGGGCCAAAACTTGGACAAAAATCCGGGAATCCTGACACTCATTTTTTCATATAACCATGAGGTCACAATTCTCATGGGTTTTCAGGGAGAAAAGGAGGTAAATTGTCATAGTTTCACATCACTACTATTAACCCTTATCAGTAATCACAGATTAAATCTAAGAATCTCAGATGTCCTCCTTCTGATGGCTCCACGACAGATTTGTAACAAATCTGTCAGATGAGGCAGCATTTCTGTATAAGAAAACTTCTGTATGAGGTTCTCAAAGTCCTTTATGAATAGGTGTCATTATCTCTACTTTACAAAGGAGAAAGTTGGGCACAAGTATGTTAAAGACCCATCTAAGCTGTCAAAGCTAAAATGGCCTATTTGCACATGCTGGCTCATCTGTGTGCTATGTAACTGCTGTATAAGGCTCTTTTCAGACAGGCCATGGTATCCACATCATTTTAAGAGATAGAAGCCAATGCTTTGCAGACTCTTCTGAAGTTCTGCTCCCGTATACTTCTTCAGAATGAAATTCCAGCACATTAGGATTGCTCAGCTGAGGTCCACAGTGATATTAAGTAGCTTGCTATTACAGAAATGGCATCCAAAGTGGACCTCAACTAGAAGGACTCACTGGACAGCTCAAATAGAGACATGTAGCACATGTTATTTATAAGGTAAGAAGACAAAAATGATTTTTCATCTCTGCAGGTATGTCTGGAATCACCCTTGATTCATGTTAATCAACAGGATGCCTAACTTCTTCATTCTAAGAGCAATTAAACAGATTAATTATTTAGAAATGGTTATTCTGCATGCAAGCCCTCCGGGAAGTCTGTCGCAAACATCACTAGGGCTCCCCCCTGCAGTGCCGGGAGCCTGGTCAAGCAACTCTTCACCTTTTGCAGTTTTCCTGTGAGGAAAGGGGAATCTCTCACCTTTTGATGCTTCTGAAAACAGCAGAAGTATCCCAGCATGCCATGCGGCAGGGAGTATGCAGCCTTCCATGGTGCTTGACAGAACCATGTTCCATTTGTATTGTTCTACCACATGGTTAGATCAAGCACAAAGGAAAACCCCATGAACAGCCAGAGTCAGAGTTAGGCAGCGCCAAAGAGAGAAGAGCGTTGAGAGGAAGCAGCATGGAGAAGCACAAGCTGAAGGTTCACGGAGAGCTGCTCTCCACTCCACCCATGCAAAAAGGTGCTGGATACAAGAGGTCATCCTTTATGCTCTAACTGCAGGAACACCCTGGAGCACAATTGGGGTTAGTGTACAAGAACAGAGCCCAGGCGAATTCAGAGACAGAACTAATACGACAGAAAATGCTACCAAAGGACTGCAAACAGCTTCTTCCAGGAAGGATGTGCGACTTTCACCACATATTGAGTGCCCAATCTATTCTGCTCTTTATTAGCTACTTACTCTCTCCTGGTGTCTCCTTTCAGTGTAAATGCTGTTTTGGTTTGCTCCATTTATTTAAGTGCAATCTCAGACATACCGCAGCACATATTAAAGGAGATTCTGAGCTGATGGCCAAGCTCTGGCATTAAATGCTCCCCAAGCTCCTTTTGAGCCTGATTTCAGCTCCTGGTGGCCTCTCACGCTGGTAGCACTTACACTAACAATCTGTAATTACCACTGCTTTTGTTTTTTTCGACTGCTCTTTACAGCAAGGTAGCACACACATGCTACTACAGAGTTATTAAGGCAACCAGGAGCATTTTGGTATTCTGTTCCTTGGCCTAATATTTGTTATGTTTTGTACATCATTTGCTGACGATGTATCATTCTCTTTCTGACATCCTGGATTATTTCAAACAGCTTTACTTATTGTAACTCATTCCTGCAACTTTGACCCTGAAAGTAGGGCGTGAGGTTTTGGCTTGACTGCTCCCACCGAAATGAAACTCCC